CACAGAGGTGAGGGAGTGAATGTGATAGAAACTGATAAAGAATGGGATCAGAAAGGGTCCATCGGACTCATCCGAGAGGGAGACATTCCTAAAACATCTCCAGTCACCCTCATGCCAGTTGTGGTACAAATCCAGGCACCATTTGAAGTTGAGGTAGCTACACCCTTCGCTGTGATGGTAGCTTCCATGCCATTTTATAAGTCTGATGTCATTCCATAGGATTATGTTGCAGAAGCAAGGAGAAAGGGTAAACCAAAAATGGAGGAAACAGGTGCGACGCAAGGTATGACTAGAACTGGCAGAGTTTATACACCTGAGAATCTGGGCGGAACTAGCAAGGAGGTAGCACCTAAGCCGCCTGTTGTCGAGACTGGTACTGATGATCTTTTGAGGAAGATACAAGCAAGGGAGTATTATGTTGTTGACCACCTGAACAAAACTCCTGCTCAGATATCCATCTTATCATTGCTACAAAACTCAGACGCGCACATGAATGCTTTGATGAAGGTGTTAAGTGAAGCTTATGTGCCTACCAGCATCACTAGTGGAGAGATGGATAACATGGTTAGACAGGTATTGGAAAACCACAAAATCACCTTCCACGAAGACGAATTACCACCAGAAAGACTGAGTCACAATAGAGCGTTGCACATTACGGTGCAATTTGAAGATAAGTTCATCGTCAGGGTCTTGATAGATGGAGGTTCAAGTCTCAATATATGTCTATTGAACACTCTAAGGAGACTAGGTAAAGGTTTGCACTAGATACAGATAAGAAGCATGAATGCGAAGGCATTTGATGGATCTCAGAGAGCCACCATTGAAGAAATCGACCTCAGTCTACAGATGGGCCCGACTTGGTTTGATGTCGAGTTTCAAGTGCTAGATATATCTGCTACTTACAACCTATTGTTGGGACGGCCATGGATACATTCCGCCGGGGCAGTGGCTTCAACTCTGCATCAGGCTGTGAAGTTTGAGTGGAATCATTGGTGATCATCCATGGAGATGGAAGTAACCCCATCTACACCAATCAGACCGTTCTGTTCATCGAAAACAGAAAAAGCTGGGTGGAGAAACATACCATCGCATTGAACGAGTCAACACAATTGAAAAGGACCGATGGTGGAGAAACAAGATAGAAAGCATACTGTTGTGGATGGGGTATGAACCCGGCAAGGGTCTCGGCAAAAATCTTCAAGGGATCACGGAACTCATACAACCACAGTACCATGGTACGAATTTTGTACTCGGGTATGAATACACATGGCAAGAATACCAGGATTGGTCACCACTATGGCATTCTCCTTATTATCCACTGGAACAACTGGTACCACCTCTACACCAGACATTCCATCAAGCTGACATGATGTGGGGATCTGAGGAAGATGAGGTTTTGGCTAGCATGAGGAAGCTGTTTCTAGATGAAGAAGACATGGATTGCAGTGCAATTGTTGAGGAGGAGGAAGACCTTACCATTCAGACCATAGAAGAAGGAGTTGTTCTCAAGAATTGGACTACTGCACCATCCCGGGCCCGTCGAGTTCCTGGGTAGCCTGGCAAATTAGCATGAATTATTTTAAAATAGTTTTGAGCATTTGAGACATTTTTTAGTATTTTGTTTTGAAATAATTACTTGAGCCATCGACCGCGCTTGTTGGCGTTTTAAAAGTTTTATTAATGCATTATTGCTTTTTATATTTATTATTATCTTTCTACATTTTGTTTCTGCATAATTATTATATATCCTGATTAACCTACAACTGTGACATAAAATGAGACAATGCAACATATGGACAGTGATTCAGAGGATCTAGAAGATGATATAATACCTGAGGAAATCATCACAGAAGTAGAAGACTTTGAAAACAAACCAAAGTTTAATTTGGAAGAAACTGAGGCCATTAACTTAGGGGATTCTGAAACGGTCAAGGAAATACGTATAAGCATTCATCTATCACCGTCAGAGAAGGAAGAGTACATCAGATTCCTAAAGGAATATGAATGGTCCTACGACAATATGACAGGTTTAAGCACATCCATAGTAGCTCACAAACTACCCACCAATCCTATGTGTCCACTAGTAAAGCAAAAGCTCAGAAAGTTCAAGTTGGATATGAGTTTGAAATTAAAAGAGGAGGTCACCAAGAAAATCAAAGCCAAGGTTCTCCAAGTGGTCGAATACCCGACTTGGTTGGCCAATATTGTGCAGTTCCGAAGAAAGATGGGAAAGTTAGAGTATGTGTCGATTACCGAGATATGAACAGAGCAAGTCCTAAGGATGATTTCTCGTTGCCCAACATATACATACTGATTGACAACTGCGCCAAGCATGAACTCCAATCCTTTGTGGATTGCTTCGCAGGATACAATTAGATCTGGATGGATGAAGAGGATGCTAAAAAGACAGCCTTTATCACACCATGAGGAATATACTATTACAAAATAATGTCGTTTAGTTTGAAGAATGCTGGATCCACCTACATGAGAGCCATGACAACCATCTTCCACGACATGATACACAAGGAAATAGAGGTGTACGTAGATGACGTTATCATCAAATCTAAAAGGAGTTCGGATCACATAGCAGACCTGGAGAAATTCTTCGACCGGCTTCGAAAATATAACTTGAAGTTGAACCCTGCAAAGTGTGCCTTCGGAGTTTCTGCTGGAAAATTGTTAAGTTTCATCGTCAGCCGTCAAGGTATTGAGCTAGACCCGTCAAAAATCAAATCTATCCAGGACCTACCGCCTCCAAAGAATAAGAAAGATGTGATGAGTTTTCTAGGGCGCCTCAATTACATTAGCATCTTTATAGCACAATCAACAGTGATATGTGAGCAAATCTTCAGAATGATGAGGAAAGATGTTGCGACAAGCTGGACTGAAGAATGCCAGAGAGACTTCGACAAAATCAAGGAGTATTTATCTAAATCGCTTGTGATGGTCCCACTAGAACCGGGAATACCTATGTTGCTTTATATGTCTGTGTTGGATGGGGCTTTTGGTTGCGTTCTAGGACAACATGATGAAACAGGAAGGAAGGAGCAGGCGATATATTATCTAAGCAAGAAATTCACGCCTTATGAAGCCCGATACTCTTTGTTGGAACGTACCTGCTGTGCTTTAACATGGATAGTTCAGAAGTTGAGACATTATTTCTGTGCATACACTACATATCTAATATCAAGGATGGATCTGCTAAAATACATCTTTTAGAAACCCATGCCTACGAGTAAGTTAGCAAAGCGGCATATATTGCTAAATGAGTTTGACATCATCTATGTGACTCAGAAGGCAGTCAAGGGGCAAGCATTAGCAGATCATTTGGCAGAAATTCCGTAGACGGAGAATACGAACCATTGAAAACGTATTTTCCCGACGAGGAGGTATCGTTCGTAGGAGAAGATATCACGAGGCATATGATGGTTGGAGGATGTTCTTCGACGGAGCAGCAAACTTCAAAGGAGTAGGTATCAGAGTTGTCTTAGTATCAGAAACCGGTCAATACTATCCAGTATCTGCAAAACTCAGGTTTTTATGCACCAACAATATGGCGGAGTATGAGGCCTGCATCCTGGGACTCAGATTGGCTGTTGAGATGAACATTCAAGAGCTGCGGTGAGCATGTAATTTTTGCCCTACAGAAAACATTCCTACAAAATCCATAAAAAAATATTTTTTTCCTGATTGTTTTTGAATTTATAGAATTTTAGGATTTTCTTTTAAATTGTTTGTTTGCATTTAGTTGCATTTTCATGCATATTTAACATTTTAAAATTATATAAAAACTATAAAAATTATTACATTTTAATTTCATGCTATCTTAGGTTTAATTTGCATTTTAGTAATTAATTACTCTTTAATTGGTAGAATTAATACATAAAAAATCAAACAAAACATTTTTAGTTTTACATGCATTTGTTAGTATATAAATAGATTAAATTTTTTTTTCTCTAATTAGAATTAAGTTGGGGTTTTAATTAGAATTTTAAAATCAAAAGGAAAGAAAACCAAACAAAGGAAAAAGGAAAGTTTCTCTTAGTTTTAAACTGGACTGGGCTAGTCTCAAAAGCCCAAATGTACTTCCAAATACGTTCCCCCAGCCTAATCTTCACCAAAAATCCGGTCCAGTGTTCAGGCGCCAAAACGACGCCGTTTTAGTAACACCTAATCCCAGCCATTGATCATTCTTGATCTAACGGCTCACAACTCACTACCCTTCTCCCTTATAATGTTCGTAAGACCCTCCCAAACCTTAGAGATCAACCCTATTTCCCCCTTTCTCATCTCTCAACTCGTCTCTCTCATCCCTCGCCGTTCGCCGCCGCTGGAAATCGCCTACGGTGGTGGTGCTACTCCAAGCCCCCTCAAATTCACACCCTATACTCCTCTCTCCATCCTTGACACAAACCTACCTCTAATTTCCCCAATACCCCCACCAAACTGCTCCAATTCCAGATCCAAAATTGAACCCTAGCCTCTTGCCCCTTTTTTAAATACTCGACCAATTTCACCTTATTTACGATTGAAATTTATATCAGTTGAAAGCTCTTGATAAGAGCTTTCCACTGATGTAAGATTCACGTCGTATCTCGGAGATTGCATTTTGGTCGGAGCCCTGTTTGTTCGTCAGATTTTTGTCGGATTTTAATTAGTATTTGTTTAGTAGTCGTTGGTTCTGCTTATTGAAAGAAGATAGTAGAGTTAGGGTAGAAGGCACTAATTAGTAATTAAGAAAAGCTAAAGGGGTCAAAGGGGATTTGAAAAATTAGGAAATTTGAGTTGTTTGTTTGGAGAAGTTTCTAGAGGAAGGACTAAAGTGCAATTGCATAATTGAATTAGGTCAGATTGGGGTCAAAAGAAATGATTTTCAGAAGCTAAAGGGTAGGTAATAAAAAGAACCATCTAGAAACAGGGACATCTGTCCAAATTCAGTTTTAAAAAGATATTTTTTCCTGAAATTTAGGGATGGCCTGCTTAGAATTATTCCCTCATTCTTTGGAGCACATGGCAGATTTTATTCCCTATATATAGGACCTCTTATTTTCTCACAAACACATGTTAATCACTCAGCATTTCTCTCAAATACAGACTGATTTTTATACACAAAAATCTCTCTGCACTCTTTCTTGCTCCCAAAAACGAAAACACTCACAAGGAGTCAATATATAGCTAGAAACCAACAAAAAGAAGAAAGTTGTTTTCCTCTTCATTTTTACTGGTTTATTCTAGTTCTATGGGGATTTCAAATCAGCTCTCGGTTCTTTGGTTCTTGTTGATTTCCTGATGCTGCGTTTGTTCTTGTTGTTGCCGTCTTCCAATTCAGAGATCTATTTTCTATTTTTTGTGTTCTGTTGCTACCTTCTGCTGATAGGTATGTTTGAAATAATATATGTATTTTTCTCTGAATGCAGAAATGTTAAAGTTGACATGTTGATTTTTGGTTATGCCTGCTTCCATGTGCTTCTGATATTTGTATGTTGAAATCATGTTCTTCTTTGTTTCCTGATGAGTAGCTGATTACATCTGTTTGTTTGAGTTGAAAGTTAAGCCATGTTTGCTCACTAGCTAAATTTATAGCTATTGATGTTTCATCCGTTTTACTGTAAAGTCACTGATAATCAAACACTCATGTTTAACTTGTGAAATTTTGAATTAGCCATGCCTATTGTCGTTGCTTCTGTATACTTATACGGATGGAGTTCAAGTATGGCATTCAAGATGAAATTGGATGCATGAAGGGCTACTAAGTCAAATGTTTAAGTGTTCTTATTCATGTTTAGATTAGAGAATTTCAGTGTATGTAGGAGTTCTGTAGTGTAAACAGGTTTAAATTCTGATTTTAGTATGAATAATTTGAAACATCTCATGTGCTAAGATTTGTAACTAATTTTTCTATGCTTGTGGCGTATTGAAATGATCATGCGCCGGTTTAAACTTGCGATGAATTTGAATTCCAGTTTATTTATATTATTTCTGATATTGAAGTTCATAAAGATCGTTTGATTATATATTTGTTGGTTTTAATTTGATACAATTCGTTACGGATTAAACACAGTCGAATTCAGGTCTTGTGGGTTCCAAATGACCCCAGGCCTGGGCTACAATTTGAAAGCCTTGAGTTTTTTCCTTAAAGATGGGCTTTTGAGGTTTGAGGCCCATATTGTAAGTTCAGCTTATGGTATGCACTTTCTTTAGACATCATTTGATTTGCAAATAAAAGGTCAAGACGTTTGGGCGCAAGGTGAAACCCATTAACGTCCGCACTTGGCCTGTTTGAGACATCACGTAAGTCTTCAGTCATTTTTCAACCCATAGTTCATTTATTGACTGAAATAATACCGAACTAATCCATTAGAATAACTAACCATACTCTAATCAATTTCATCACTAAGGGAAGAATCATGAGACAATCTTCCTCATATAGGAGCCTATGTCAACTAATTCCCATCACTTGTTCACAAATAATTTCCATAATCTTTGCCCTTTTACAATAACCTCAAATTAATTTAGAATCAATAATTTCAAACATCGGAGTTTGCTTTAGGCGCATAATTAAATCATCATGGCTATGGGTACGGTTCCCGTAGCATAGTCGTGATACATAATCCCCAATTCGGGTGTGCATTTTATATGACCCGACCATAACTTCAAATAATAATAAAAATAAACATGTTATAAATTGCGGGTGTATTTCATGTGACGCGATTCGCAATTTGTTCAAATACAACGAGTGTGCGACATCGCAACTTGTTCAAACAGTTTCCATAAATAATTAAAAGCGGTTTAAAAGGTTAAAAATGCACAATAGGTTTTAAACATGTAATAAATCAGATAATTCGGCCAATTATTAATAGTTGAGCGACCGTGCTAAAACCACGGAACTCGAGAGTGCCTCACACCTTCTCCCGGGTTAACATAATTCCTTATCCGATCTTCTGGTTTCGCGGACTTTAAAAGTGAGACAAATTTCCTCGATTTGGGATTTAAAATAAATCGGAGAATTGGGACACCATAAATTATTCCAAGTGGCGACTCTGAAATTAAATAAATAATCTCATTTCGAACAATATTACTTTAATTGGAAAAACTCCCTATCCCTTCGGAAAAAAAGAGGTGTGACAGCTGTGGCGACTCTGCTGGGGATCGAACCCAGAATCTTTAGTTCAGGGTTCAGAATTTGAGCTTAGAATAACTGTTATACTTGGATTTCTTGTGATTGTCTGATATTACATGTTTGGGCCAAATGTGCTAAATGCCGCTTTTTACCGCTTTGATATTGTTTGAACTGTATATAAAACTTTTGCGAAAGCCTTCTTCTCTCTGAGTCTTCTAAATCTTCTGGGAAGTGCACGCTGGCGTGACTTCTTCTGTTAGAGTCATACCCTAATTTAGAACGAGGATCAGATCAGTTACAAAGCCGGATGATCTTTTGGTTACCGGTATGTTGCCCCCATCGGCTCGAGTTATCCGCTCGGGTAAGCCATGTCTAGAACAATACACCCAGGTTTTAAACATAGAATAACATAGCCTCATGCCGGATCCCTAGTAGGAACGCTTGTTTGCATCACGTGTATTTGACTTTGGGGACTCAACACAGGGGTTGGGTCCATCTAGGACAGATGTACCCGAAATAAAAAGACCATCCTAATGCATTTTACGTGCCTACTCTTTTAACTAGACCTATCTATACCTATAAACCATAGGTTTGAAGATATACCATTGTCGACGCCGCTATTGATACTGAATACTAGCGCTTCTAGCCTTCTATCCAAAGTATGGACTATTTCCAACCTTCTGCATCTGAGTATCTCATAGGTTGTTCACTTTTACCTTACCTTAAAATCTTGCATCACATCTTTTATCTCTTTCATGACTTCCCCTCCACATAAGTATAATTCATGTTCACAACGTGAAGCTCTATTATAATACTTGCACCTCTGGTGCCTATACAATCCGGTGGGAGCTCCATAATAAATTCTTATGAGGATGGTATTTTTCTAACTTGTTCCAAATTTGGCGAACCACTTCTTCAGAAAATTGAGCCTTAGAGCGGATTTCAACCACATGAGTACTAAGATCTTCATCTCTAGGAACTGTTTGGTATCTTCCAAGATGTCTCAACACCCGGTACGGGGCATAGGGCTGGATGCTTCGGAGACCCATTAGAAGGAAGCAGGGACCGGTGGCGGGCATGTAAGCAATCTCCTAAATGGGAAGCAATGTCCACTCTATCTGATTCGCGATTATAGAACGAAGGCGGGATATCCAATCTTTGACCCCTTCTGGCATTTCCAATCCGTTCACTCGTGTACCAAACTCTTCGATGCAATTGTTTCCCGTAGATTCGTAATTCATGTATCGGGGACGATGACATCCACATTTGCAATAACAGATTACACCCCTCAAAAAACCTGAATCCGGCCTTACAAATGTGAGAGCTCGAAATATATCTAATACGATCATGGGTGCGAGGGTACTCTTGGCCTGGGTAGTCAAAACATGGACAACTCCAGCTACACGCAAATCAATGCGCCCGTCCTCCCTCAGAAACAACAAAAGTTCTAAACATGTCACCATGAAGGCAAAGCATCTATGTGTTTCTCACTTTGATCGGTTTCACTTACTGCAAAGTTCATTTTCTGGGTCTTCGAATCCCCTTAAATGCCCATACCGCTGGTATAGAAAGTGAAAGGTGGAAGCTCCACCTGCTAGACTTTCAGTCTTGATTTGCCTGTTTATTTTCAGTAGGTCTAGAAACTTGTGGGGAGTAACGGTCCTTGGAGATATCAGAAACTTGTGCCTTAGTCCCTCCGTACTCCCGGCATAACCCGCCATTTCTTACAAGGTAGGTGTAAGCTCAAAATCTGAGAAGTGCAAAACATTGTGAGCGGGGTCCCAGAATGACACTAATGCTTCTATCAAATCACTTCTAGGTTGAATTTTTAATAGTCCAGTGAGTGCCCCCAGGTATTGGTTGACCCTGTCTTGTCCTTGTTTTTCCAAGTCTTCCCACAACATGTGGAGTGCTAGTGGAATTTGATCCATAACCTTCACCGGTAAGTTATAAACAGTGCTCATTCTACACATTTTTAAATTAGGGTGACCAGGTTAAAACATGTGAATTTTGTTAGAAAAAAAAACTCATCATGAAAAGATTATTATTATTATTATTTTGCAAAATCCAACTGAAAACAAGTCACGGCTACTTTTGCAAATACAGCCCTTCAGCACTTTGGATGGGAAGATTTTAGGGCTTGTGCTTGCTAAGTGGCCAAAAGTTTGAAAAAGGACCATAGATGGCTATTCTTGCAAAAAATGGCCTTCCCGCGTCCCGTCAGGACATTTTTGGTTATTTGGACAAAAACGACATCACCTAACTTTATTTATGACAAAATGGCGACATTTTCATATTTTTGGTTATTTTTGCAAAAGCGGGGTCGGACCCGATGAAGGTTGCCTACGTATCCCACATCCAGTAAAAATCAAACCCGCGTAGTTCGGTAAGTTTTGACGCAACAGGAAAATATGATTTATTTTGAAATGACTTTTTCGTTCTTTTTTTTTTCTTCAAAATTTTGGCAGAGTTTCGGGATATTTTGAATACCGGAATTTTCAGAACCGGGTGTTTTCTCTCCTATCTCACTCTTGTTTTTTCTTGATTTTATTTCCCTATTCTCGAAGCTGATCAACATGCAAGCCGAAACAAATAAATGCACACGGATTTCCTGAACTGCTTCCCAGGACGAGTGGAACCTCCAACGTCCACATCCTCGTAACCAACCCATTCATCCTGTTTGGGTACCCCACTATATCAGCCAATTTCACTGGTATACCTTCTAAGGTTCGCCCCCAGGCACTGTTTTTGGGGGTACCTTCTTTATTATTCACCGCACCGCCAGTCTCTACTATGGCACAGCCAACAATGCCTAGGCCATGCTTCGAGCCTTCAGCTTTCACTTTTCAAGTCCCGCAATTTCAGCTAGACACAGCTCATGTTACCCCAAACGCTTACCCTCAGCACCCGCAATATGAGTCTCCAATGGAACAGGAAAGAACAGTGAGAAACTCCGAGCAAGAGGAGATGGATCGGAAGATGAAAAGCCTCGAACAAAGTCTGAAAAACATGCAAGGCCTGAGTGGCCAAAAGACTGTATCGTATTCCGATCTGTGCATGTTTCCAAATGTTCACTTGCCCGCTGGCTTTAAGATGCCAAAATTTGAAAAGTACGATGTGCACGGAGACCCGATCACTCATCTGAAACGATACTGTAACCAGCTGAGGGGTGCTGGTGGAAAAGAAGAATTATTGATGGCTTATTTCGGGGAGAGCTTGGCGGGAATTGCGTCACAATGGTACATGGACCAGGACATCTCCCATTGGCATATATGGGACGACTTGGCCCAAGATTTCGTCAGGTAATTTCAATACAATGTTGATATAGCTCCAGATAGGAATTCCTTGACCAATTTCAAGAAGAAAACCACGGAAAGTTTTCGTGAATACACTATCAAGTGGCGTGAGCAAGCAGCCAGAGTGAAACCGCCTATGGATGAGACAGAAATGGTCAATGTTTTCTTACAGGCCCAAGAGGCCTATTACTTTCAGAACATGATGTCTGCCATGGGCAAACCTTTTGCAGAGGCCATAAATATCGGAGAAATAGTAGAAAATGGCCTGAAAACTGGCCAAATCATAAGTCAATCTGCTTTGAGAGCCACCTCCCAAGCTATCCAGAACGGCTCGGGCGGTCTAGCAAATCGAAAGAAGAGGGAAGAAGGATCCATGATGGCTTTAGGTTCGAGAGGCCCCCGTCGATCCCGTGATCATTCTTACCTGCCATACAGAACCCCACAATACTACTACCCCCATCATGATGCAGAATATGTCGTGGCACCGCCTCACTATGCAGTGATGAATGCCCAACCCTATACACAGCCACAATAGCACTACAACCAAAACCGAGCTCTACCTCATAG